TTATAGATAGTCCTTGGAAGGACACTAAGGTAGGGGCAACTCTATAATTTAAAATCACATTATTTAACTTTTTAAATGACATAAATGATACCATTTCATTACATAACAGAGAAAAAAAAGGAAAAGATCCCTTTAACTTTTAAAAATCTGCCTGGTGAAAACCTCAGTCCAGTAAGTATCTGTGACTTCCTTTGGGTGGTCATCTTCACCACTAATGTAGGTGGTGGCCCCTCTATAACTTGGTAGGTAAGAGTTACTGGGTTCAACCCGATGATGAACCTCTCACAGTTTAGGCTGAATCTTAGATAACAGACGTGGCATCTTGACTTGGACTTTCATGAAGACTTCAGAGCTTGGTCAAACCGAGATTGTGCTCCCCTGGCAACTTTTGAATACTCACCATCAGCACCAGGCCATGATAAAGCATCCGAAGATGACTTTAGTGGGCCATCAAAATACCAACCTCCATTTGAAGGGGTCCAATGATGCCATGACCACAATACGTCAAAAAAGAAAAAAAGAAAAAAAGAAAAGAAGAAAGAAATTTACTTCTGTTCTACATAAGGCAAATGGGACTTTCTCCACCAAGTAGCCTACAGGTCCCTCCCCACTTTCTCTCAGCCTCCTTTTAACTATTGTCTTCCCCATTAGAATGTAAACTCCTTGAAGGCAGGAACTGTTTTGTATTTGTATTCTGAGCACTAATGCTCCGCACATAACCAGCATTGAATAAATTCTTGAGGACTTGTTGACTTTGTGACTTCAGACAAGTCACCTGGATCTCCTTGGACCCAAGATTCCTCATCTCTGAGATCCCTTACAGCTTTGGCTCTATGATCCTATGAATGAACAAACAAAGCATTTATTAAGCCTTATTATGTGCCAAGCACTGTGATAAGTGCTGGGGATACAAAGAGAAAAAGCAAAGAGAGTCCCTGCTGTCAGGGAGCTTCTATTCTAATCAAGGAGAAGGCACGTAGGGAAAATTTTAGCTGCAGGTCAGATGGAAAAGTTCTACAATCCTTAGGATGTAGTGGCAAAACATGTTAATGCTTCTCTTTAATATTATTTTCATTGATACAATTTTATCAGTTTCTGATGTTGAAACATTTGACAGTGCCAAGGACTGTGGTGGCCAGAACTTTCTTTTCTAGGTCTTCAGTAGCTGAGATTGTAACCCTTATAGGAGCAGTTGCCAGGACACTGGGCTGGAAACAACGCTACTCCCAAGGCTCTTGAGCTCAGTGTCCTGGGTTGTCTTCATCAGGGTTTGTGGGGAGATGGTGGTCAAAATGGTGGTGCTGGTGGTTTGATTTGCCTGGCTTATGCTGCTTCCTGAGTCTCTCTCAGGGTGCCCTGATGCTTCAGCTATAAGAACTTGCCTATCAGAACTGGGAGTTGATATCTACTGCAAATCATCTAATGGCCACTGAAGATGATATGAGAAATTCCCATTTACCTTCCGTAGAACAGAAGTCAGTATCTTTCTTTTCAGACTGATCTCAGAGTGAGAGCAAGAGGTGGAAATGGGTGGGTGGGGGGAGGTGAACAGCAAGTCAGAAAGGAAAAACGCATTTGCTTCTGGAGGTCAGGGTGATGGTGGTAAGTAGCTGATATACAATGGGTTCTGTAGGTTGACCCTGAAGGGCTCTTTCCCACTAAAGTTTGCTCCTGTTGCAGTGATCAGACAAAGTTCTACAGTGTGCAATGCAGAGCTGCCTCAAACCACCCAATCCTTATTAACATCAGCAGGAGTCATGTGGATTAATCGCTATAGCGAGCTTTGGAAACCTCAGTAAGTCCAAGAGTAATTACTTCTGTATATCACGCACAGGGACAGAAAAGGCAGAAATAATCAGGCATTGGTTAGGCAATTACATGGAAGTAACTGCAATCAGAGTGATGGAGAGCTGATGCTAAGCTAGAAGAGCGTGACAATGATACTTGTGCCCTACAACTTGGAATTGACTTCTTTTAAGGAGAACTAAGGGGATATTGAGTTTCCTGAAATCTCAGAGGTGCCTTCCCAAACTCGCTCTGAAATGTGCTGCTCAGGTTGTGATCCCTGTAAATGCCTGCCTGCCTGAGAGGCAGAGATGGACAGATTGGCACTGAGGAATAGGCTCCTGAGTTCCTTAATTAACCTAGACCAGGGGTTCTTAAGCTAAAATACATAGGACTACAAAGGAAACCAAAGATTAGTGAAAATAAAGATTGTGTCATTCCCATCCATGTGCATGGACCCCTTGCAATCTATCCAAGGACAGTGGACCCCAGGTTAAGAGCCCCTGATCTAGGGCTTGGAAAAGGTCTCAGGCTGGCCAAGTTGAAGACATAATCAATCCATAAATCAACATGTACTTATTAAGCACACTATGTGTCAGACTCTGTTCCAGGTGCTGAGCTGGAGAGCATAAAATTCTCTCTCCTTAGAAGGGGCCCATGGTGGGCAGGATCTGATGGGAAACTTGCTCACTTTTGCCCTCATAGGGCTGATAGAAGAACATGTGGAAGAGGGAGTTGGCTCCACAGGGCAGAACCAGAATCAATGAGTAGAAGTGGCAGAGAGGACACATTTATGGGTAAAATAAACAACTTCCTAACATTGGAGCTGTCCAAAAGAGGAAATGGTTACTTGGAGGGGATTAAGGGTAAGGGGCTTCTTCTCACTGGAGGTTTGAAAGCAAAAGCTGGATGGCTGCTTGTCAGGTATGGGGATTCCAGTTCTGGTGCAGATCAGTTGGCCTCTGAGTTCCCTTTCTGACACTGATATTCTGTGTATGTCTCTGTAGGACAGGTAAGCTGAATTGAGACACAGCCATTTCATTCTTTTCTTTTCACAGCTAACACTTATCAGTGAAGCAGACTCAACTGCACATGACTAGCATAAATCCTTAAGATTAACCTCAATGTTCCATTCATTCTGCACTTAACAATTCAAAACCTTGACTTTGTTGTGTAGATGCTGAGGACAACTACAGCCCAATGACATGTATTCTGAATCTGTCAGGCTGCATCTGAAACCATAGGCACCTATTGCCTAAGCTGAAGGGACATTTTTCAATGCCAACACATTTCAACCATTGTGAATCACTCACCCAGTAGTGAAAAGTCAAGCTTTCCTCCTAAATTAGCAGGGTGCCCATTCTAACTGCTGCTGGATGTACTTAAAAGTATCAGTAGCCAAATCATTACTGAAGGGGCAGCTAAGTGGCGCAGTAGGTAGAGCATTGGCCCTGAAGTCAGGAGGACCTGAGTTCAAGTCTGACCTTAGACCAAACACTTGACACTAACTAGCTGTGTGACCCTGGGCAAGTCACCTAATCCCAATTGTCTTAAAAAAAAAACAGTTCCAAATCCTTACTGAACAGAGAGCTTTCCACCCATGATCCACCTTCCCAGGCAGGAGTTCCTCTTCTGGCCTCATATTTGGCTTCTGATTCCAGATTCTACTTGCTTTCCATAGAAATCTAAAAAGCTACTAATGGATATTGTACATCCTTCCCATGTTACTCTTCCATGACTCACAAGTTCCTTCAGATGGAAGCAGCTTTAATCACAATTTGTCAATAATCACGTTTTTAATCATAACTATATTTAATCAGAATTTGTGTCACCAGTGATCTGTGACTCTCTCTCTTCTTTTTTTCTCCTCACTCCTTTCCTTCCTCTGTCTTTCTTTTCCTTTCTCTCTGCTTCCTTCCTTTCTTCCTCTCTCTCTCTCTCTCTCTCTCTCTCTCTCTCTCTCTCTCTCTCTCTCTCTCTCTCTCTCTCTCTCTCTCTCTCACATACAGGGAGCCACCGGTTGTATAAGGTAGTTCCAGGTCCTGACTGAATACTATGCTAAATTCTTGGCTCCTCCTAGAACTTGGTAAATAAGTGGGATTATCAGATACCTAGAAAGCTGGATAAAAACCTAGTACAGCCTAATAGATATGGAGCAGGCCTTAGAGTCAGGTAGATTGGAAGTAAAGTCCTGCTTCTGACCTATATTGACTGTGTGACCTTGGACAAGTCACTCAGCTTCTCCTTTCCCTAACTTACTAGGACTCTAAGTTGCTGAGAAGTTGCTGATTTGTGTTGATTGAAAGGGGTTTCTTCTCTTTATACCAATACAATCACAGATTTAGACCAAAAGAAAAACACAACAAAAACCAGGTATTTTTTTCTTGGCCATATCTCTACTCAACAAACAAGTGTGATTTATATGAAGTTATTGATTTCTCAGGGCTGGCATCTGGGGAAAGCCTGTCTTCCAATCAGAATCCTGTTCTCTCAGGATTCCTAAAAGGACACCAGACTAGGCAGAGATTCCATGCTTCTATTAGTATCCAGAATTCATCTCATGCTACTGGAGCATTCCAATACAAGCTGAAGGGGCATGTTGGGATAGGAAAGAGGTGAGCCTCATGGTCCACAAGAGATGGGCAGGCAATATGGTCCCTCCCTAAACTCTGGGAAGCTAGGGCAGGTATAAGGCTCCATGGAATGCTCGGTCTGTCAGTGCTGCAAAGAAAATCATCATTGCTTTCTTCCCCTTCATTCCTCATAATAGATTCAACTTCTTTCACATTCAAGATCATAGACCCCTGAAATCTATCTAAGGACAGTGAATTCCAGGTTAAGAGCCCAAGGGCCCTGGGACTTCTTCATTAACATCAGACTTGCCGCAAGCTGTCTAACCTGAGAAGTCATTCAAGGACAGGAGGGAAAGCATTCTGTGATTTAACTCAATTCAACAGGCATTGGCATTGACTGCATGATGGATGCAGAGAAAAACTTAAGGCTGTTACCCTGAGGCCAAAACAATCAGTCCATCTGGTAAGAAAAAACATCTGATTTAGGAAAAAACATCAGTCAAACCCATCATGCTAGTAGTTCCAGCTTGAGAGTACTCAGCATGCACCCCTTTAACTCTGTGTGTGTGTGTGTGTGTGTGTGTGTGTGTGTAGCTGACTTACATTCTTTTAGGAAAAAAATCAGTCACATCTGCACAGACATAATTTTTCATAAATGACTTTTACTTTGTTATCACTTCTCCCAACAGCAATTCTTGGCAAAGATGCAGATAACATGAAGGCAAGCTTAACTTGTACTCAGACTTCATTAAAGAAATCATTAAAGCATCTTAATTTTCTTAAACCATTAAAATATTTTCATTTATAAAAATTAATCTAAATATAAATATTAACACTAAAGATTGAAATCACTTGATGATAAAATAATCCTCCGTGTTGATAGAACATATGCTTTTGTGATTTTTCTGAATGGTAAAATTAAATCTTCACACAGATTTGGCACAAGGAAACCTTTGTAAAAATTCAAATGCCAGAGAGCAGGATTTTTTTTTTTTTTTTTGCAATGCTTTACACAGGACACAGTTTTGTCAAAGAAGACGGAATATTTTTTAACACTAACACAACAGTAGCTTCTTCTCATGCCTCTTTATGGAAAACATTCTATTCTGAACTCAGAGCTTTTTTGGATTGTGGGCTTCTTTCTTCTCCATTTTGTTTTAAATCACACGAGTGGAACAAAAGCCAAAGATTTACTCTATTCAAATGAGTCTTTTAGGTTAGATAACACATATACGGCATTAGTAAATATTATAATTAGACAAATACGCAAACCACCGTCAGGGTCAGCTCATGACTCATACCTTCAGCTCTCAAGATTGGGGAATGTGTGTAACAGACAAATCAACCATCTAGAGGTTAAAAATGGTGCAAAGGGAGATTTTCTTTAGTTATCCCAATTAATCCAACCCTCCTAATTAGATTCTCCCTTAATAACTTATGAATAAACATGACCCACTTTACTGAATGAAGTTTTTAGGTTTGTTTGTTTTTGTGAACAGACTTCAAGTTGACACATATTTAGTATGTGTTCCTGCTGTCCACACATGCCCAGAGTAACATAATAGTTTATTGATGCTACACTTACAATTTGGAGTTACTCTGCTTATGGTAATTTTTTTTGAAAAAATAAAAGGTACTTAGCATTTCCTTTGAAACAATTTGATACTTTGAGACCTAAAAAAAATTATTTTCCAATTGGCTTTCAGTAAGTAATTTTGCATTCAACTTATCTTTTGCATTCTATTAGAATCCTACCCAATAGACCTTTACCTAGTAGAGAGACAGTGCTGGATTTGAGAATGAGAAAACTAGGTTAGAGTCTTACTTCTGCCTTGGTGACTTTATCTGTATAATGAAGATACTAGTATCTTCACTGCTTACCTCTCACAGGGAGGGAAAGCACTTTGGAAGCTATGTAGCATAATGTGAATGTGCGGGCTAACTAAATTGCACAACCTTGACTTTGGATAATGCTCAGAAGGTGAGTTATGGGCTGTGTTTCCCATAGCACTTCTCTCCTCTGGTGTTGGGAAAGTCTAAGTCCTAAGGAGGTCCATGGGCGCCTATTCAATAAATGAATCCCCAATTGTTGCTGAAGGTGTCGAGGTACCAGTGACTTGCTCAGATCTCATGATAGTTCCTGAGATGGCGATAAAGAGCAAATGCATGTCTTTGTTCAGCTGTGCCATATTCATTTCATCAGGGACCATCCTGGTAGAACACGACATCATGGTTTGTGACGGCAAATTAATAAAAATAATTGTAAGAGCCATGAGCCAGAAGCCTGGCAGATGGAGAAGAGATAAACAGATGCCTCTGCTCATTAGTAGCTTTTTTCCTTTTGTTTTTAAGAACGAAAACTGCACCCCTACCACTCCCAATATCAGTGAAAGTAGCATTCACTACCAGGTCCGTTTTCCTTAGCATGCATAAGTCAGGGAGGTCTTTGTGAGCACTAAGGGGCCAGTAGGATGGCCATTTACTTTTTTTGCCAGATGGAATTTTGATAGACATCTGGTGGAATCAGGGCTACCAAAAAAAATAATAAAGCCACATATATTATCTTAAAAGACGACATTCTTTAGCACAATTGATTGACAGGGAAAAAAAAATGCCATTTGTAAAACAAAGAGCTTTGCTTTGGAAACTCAGTATCTTTCCTGGAGTCTCAAGGGAACATAAGGCAATGTTCCCACTAGCAGACCAGAATGCTGAAGCCTTGGACAGCTTTCTCAGTGAGGTATCCAAGACGAAAAGAAAGCCCTGCTCCCAGAGGAAGCAATGCTCCGCCAGGGCCTATTTTCTATGGGACATACTGTATACAATGGCTGTTCAAGAAAGGCACTGGTGTATACAGCTGGAGGCAGTGTGTGATTGGCAGTGGAGTTGAGTACCACTAAAACATTATGGCGGATCCTACAGTTGGTTCCTAAGAGAAAGAGAAAATGACACATTAGTAAAATATTGACTAGATGATTGGCCACTTAGCAAAAATAAAAATATCTATGAAGCTAATAACTGTCCATTTAACAACTCCAGGCTGTTTCTACATTAGAGCTTTCTTAGTGACCAAATAGATAGAAGGTCTGGGGGTTGGCATGGGGTATGAAGACTCCTTCCATTGTTATAGCATGGTATAAAAGAGAAGTCTTAGGTAGTTGCCTGAAGAATACAGAGGTTAGGAGTTGGAATAGACCTTAGGGGTCATCTAGGCCAACCCTATCATTTTACAAAGAAAGAAACAGAAGCCCCTTGAAGTTAAGTGACTTGTTCAAGGCCATACAGGTATTAGGCATGGAAGTAAGATTTAAACCATCTTTCTTTGACTCCAGAGTCATTGCTTTTTCCACAGCACCACACTGGTACTGGACACACAGGTAGTGAATGTCAGAATTTGGATTTGAACCCAGATCTTCTTGACTTCCAGTCTGGCATTCTATTCACTGTGCTATGGTGCCTTTGCTTCTTTCTTAAGTCTTTCTTATCAGAAGCAACAATTATTTGGTCCAAAGACTATGCTGGCATTTAGACAAACAATCCACTAGGTCTCATAGAAAAGTGCTGCACCTTCTCCAGAATTTTCCCAAATGATATATTGTACCTTATTCTGCCACTCTAAAATATACAGTTATTTTAGACAGAAGGGTGGTGATTAAATGTTTTAGAAGAAGAAATGGAGGAATGAATGAACATGGACTGAAAAATCAAATAAAAACCCCACAGCAGAAAGAACCACCTTAGTGAATCTCATCTCTGACCATTACTAGTGGTGTGACCTTGGGCAAGTTAATTCTTCTAGGCCTCAATTTTACCTTCCGTAAAATGAGGGGGTTAGAATAGGTCAATCTATTAATCAACACACATTCATTAGGTAGCAGCTATATGCCAAACACTGTGCTAGGTGCTGAGCCCCTGGTTTCAGAGAACTTCCATTCCAATAAGGGGATAACAGGTACATATATAGGTGAATTCAAGCTACACAGTGGCCTCTGCGATCCCAGATCTAGTTCTCTGATCCTATCTTTTAGTAACTATAAAACCTATGAAGATTATGTAAGGGGCTTAATAGAGCAGTGGAAAGCCTTGGGTTGGAATTTTCAGTCTGTTACTCACTCAGCAACCCTGGGCACATCTCAGCCTCTCTCTAGACCTACTTGGTAAAAGGATGCTGGACTAGCTTGACTTCTCTATGGTGTCCACCAGCTCTAAATTTTTATGCTCCTGCTCTGGCCTCTTCCTGGGCAGACTACACACAACTGGAACTCAAAAGAATTTAGGGGAAGTTATAAATTCATACATCTGCTTAGGGGGTGATGATGACTTAGAAGAGATAAGCCAGTCTATTTGAGTTTTGGACCTCTTGTTTTATTCTTGGGCTTTATTATTACTACTTTTTGGCAATTGGGGTTAAGTGACTTGCCCAGGGTTACACAGCTAGTAAGTGTCAAGTGTTTGGTCTGAGGCCGAATTTGAACTCAGGTCCTCCTGGCTTCAGGGCTGGTGCTCTATCCACTGTGCCACCTAGCTGCCGCATATTCTTGGACTTTAGAAGAAGCTTTCACAGACAAGTGCCCTGAATAGCTGTTTTGCAAGGGTCTGCGAGACAGAATGGTGGCTTTTAAATTGTTTGCAGAGGATTTAAGCAGGGTATGGCGCATAAATTGAAAAGTCTGAGGGCCACAGATGTAAGAGCTATTCTGAGAAAGGGTTTTGGAAGTCCCACAAACATATGCTGTCTCTCTTTCTTTGTGGGTTGGGCAAGGGCATGCCTCCAGTGTCTTGCACACAGTGGATGCTTAATGCTTGTTCATTTGAATTTAATATCCCTGGCAAAAAGCTCCAGAGATTGTGGGAAACCACATTCAACATGAACTTTGCTTTTAGAAGCATTATATAGTCTGTGTCCATGGTCATGACAAACCTGTGCATTGGTACCCCCCATCCCTGGATTGTGCTTCCTCCTCACCTCTAACTCCTAGCATCCCTGGCTTCCTTCAAGACTTAGCTCAAATCTCACCTTCCGCAAAAAGCCTTTCCCAATCCCCCTCTGCCATTAATCCCACCTCGATGAGATTCCATTGACTATATCTATATCTATATCTATATCTATCTATAGTGAATATAGATATAATCTATCTATATAGTGTCTATGTATATGGTATATACAGAGACATATAGATATTTGGTAAATATATATAGTATGTTTAGATCTAAATATATAATAAATACATGCAGTATATAAAATATAATATAGATAAATATAGGATATATTATAAAGGAAATCTCATCAAAGAGGCATTAGCAGCAGGAGGAAATTGGGAAAGACCTCTTGCAGAAGGTGAGATTTGAACGAAGTCTTGAAGAAAGCCAGGGATGCCAGGAGTCAGAGGTGTGGAGGAAACAAACTATCTATTATTTATATCTATATACTCAAATAACTATATGTATCTGTATATATTACATATGTCTATATATAGTAAATATATATATACATGTATACAAACACACACACACATATGCATGTATCTTGTATATACCTAGTGTTTGGTGTGTTGTAGCTCCAATTAGAATGTGAGTCCCTTTAGAGCAGAGACATTATTTTTGCTTTTCCTAGGATCTCTAGCACTTAGCATAGTGCCTGGCACATAGTAAGCCATGGGAAATAAATTAAGCTCAAGCTATTCATTTTAGTCAAGGGTTGGCAGATAAAAAAAAAAAACCAGTAACACACTAGTACACAGATTGTTGTCAGTTCCTCGGAGATGCTATTCTCTCCATCAATGGCTTGCTTTTTTTAAGTAAGAAAATACAAATTACCTTGTTATGTAGGAGGTAGGCACTGAAAAACTTCTAAGTATTTTACACCTGAACAGGGAGATTTGGATGGGAAAATATTCCTGATTATAAAGCTCAACCACTCTATCAGGGATGGCTTAAAGGATCAGGTAGCCCTTGTATTTCGCTCCTGCTTTTGCAATTTTCTGTAATGTTCATAAAGCCTCTCCCCTGTTTCAATCTTAGCCATCCCTAGAGGCCTAGAGCAAATACTTCCCTTTCATTTTCCCCGACCAGCCAGCTTAAGTGAGATCTCTTTTCTCCAGTTTCCCATAGTACTTGTTTGGAATTTAGTATATACTGCCCAATGTTAATTATTTTTTTTTCATGCAGGTAAGCCTTATCTCTCCAATTAGACTGTAGGTTGTTGGGAGGCAGGTGCTTTGGATTGTATTTCCTTATTTAAGACATGGCCTTCAAGCAGAGAAGTGTTGAAGATGCATCAACACCTGCTATCAAAGAGTTTATGGTCTTTTTGGCAACTAAGGCACATACTTTAGAATACATGGCATTAGAATGTAAGCTCCCTGAAGAATGGGCTTGCTTTTTTTTTTTTTTTGCATCTCCAGTCCTTAACACAATGATTGGCACACAGTAAGCACATTTTTGGCAGTCAACAAGAATTTATTAAGTGCTTACTATGTACCAGATACTATGCTAAAGTGCTAGAGATGTTAAGAAAGGCAAATCTAGGGTTCCTGCCCTGAAGGGACTTATATTTTAATTGGGGCTAAAACATACAAAAAACTAGGTATGTACAAGATACATACACCTGCACCTCCCGAAGAAGTGGGATGTGAGGTGAGTCTTGAAGGAAGCCAGGGAGGCTAAGAGTCAGAGAGGTGAGGAGGAAGCACATTCCAGGAATGGAGGAGAGCCAGTTGAAAGGTTTGGATATGGGAGGTGGAGTGTCATGTGGGAGGAAAACCAAGTGGACCAGGGGAGCTGAGTTGTAGCATGTATAGAGGGGTATAAAGTGCAAGAAGTTTATTTACGATTTCCAGTGTAAGAAAAGGACTAGGTTGTGAAGGACTTTGAATGCCAAACAGAGAATGCTTGCTAACTGAAGAAAGAAAGATAACCAACAATACAGGACAGTCTCTTTGTCATCCTGTGAATTAGACTCTGAGGATCCACAAAAAGAGAGGCCGTGGTTCCCAGAGTTCAAGTTGAGAAGCGCTTTTGCCTGGAATTAACATCCATTGGGAAAATGAGAAGGAGAAGGGTGAAATTTACCATCAAGTCCTTGGCAGTACTTTTTCTTTCTTTAGTCCTTTGCATCATAGACCCTTGGAGTATGAAATTCCGGTTAAATGTTTTAACAGAAGTGAGTGAAGCAGCCTCCATTTTCTCATCTGAAAAGTAAGTGAGGGACAAGGTTTACTGAGAAGCCTTGGCTGAAAGGTTCTCCAAGGGCTATGTAGAAGAACAGAGCATTTGATTTATCACATTTCTAATCTCCCCTTTCTGTTTGAATCATGCAATTTAGATAGCTAATTTTCAATGATGTTTTTAAAACATACTTTTCACTGGTGGGGCTGGAAGTTTTCTCCTCTGCTGTCTCGATGTGTCAATGGTCTGTACCTATGAACAGAACACAGGAATCACCATATCTACTTTTTACAAAGCCAAAGACTCCCCCCTCCCCGTTGGAATTCCCCAGGTGCTGAATGTGTTGATAAAGAAAGTGAAAGGACCTGGTTCATTTGCTTTTGATCCCGTTTTCTCATCAGACGGACGCACGGAGCAACGTTCAACCCTGCCAATGTCAGGGCTGCAATTCTGCTCTCAATATCTGAAATCTTAAAGCACAGAAAAATGGAGGCAGGCAGGCAGAAGAGAATAAGACTGTTAAAAGTCTTCCAAATACATAAAACCATGACTAGTCAAACATATTATATTCAATAAGTCTATATTCCCACGGAGTAAAGATCAACATACTCAGTCTTCAACTAAAGGAACATTAGAAGTGACCATAAGAAAACATTTCGAATAGATTATTTTATTCTTCCAGCAGTGTCATGTGTTCAACATGACCATTACACCAAAAGGTATAATCCCCCCACTTTTAAAGACCAACACACTATTGGTAATTCCATTTGATGGCATATCATGGAATACCCTAATTTCCAAATAACCAAAATTACTGGTACATAAAGCACAGTGATCAGACATATAGTGGACCTAAGTAATCAATAAGATATCGCCAATCATGACTTCGTTGTGAGAAGTAAAACACACACACACACACACACACACACACACACACACACGCCCCTTAGGAAACATGATTAGAAATGGAGGCGGTAAGGAGGAGGTCACTCCAGCAAGAGATAACATATAGATAGGCAGGACACTAGAAAGAATATTAAATTACTTTCAGAGGCCCTCTAGCATGCTGGTAGAACCTCTAAGAAGGCAACTCAGACAATTTTTATACCCCCAAATTGCCACATAGCATAAGTATTTTCAATATGCGCATACTTTTATCCTCTACTAAAGCCTTATCCTGACACCTCATTGCAGTACAAAGGTGACTATGGGTCTTCCATGGCTATGCTATTGGAGCACAGGTTGCTATTATGCATTTTTATCTGAATTTAAATGAATTCATTGAACTCTTCTGAGAGTGAGTTTTGAAACAGAAAGAAAAACATAATTTGAGGGTGCTATTTGCCAGGGAACGGGGCTATGTTAGGGGAGCAAGACAAACAAGCAGTTTTGCGGAGAGCCTGGAGTACAGAAAAGGGATACTTATTATTGAGGTTATCATAGAAAGGGTGGTAGAACCAGGGAGGGAAGAAGCACATGGCATAGTACAGACCTAGCTCTGTCACTTACCACTCCTGTGGCCTTGGGCAAGTCAATCTCTCTCTCCCTGTGCCTCAGTTTCCACATCTGTAAAGTGGGTGGAGTGGTTTAGACTAGATAACTTCTAAGATCCCTTGTAGCTCTGACACCTCGTGATTTCATGACTCAGTACTATTACCATCTGGGGATGAGGAGAAGAGACATTCTCACCTGCAGCTCTGCATGGTGCACCTGGGCTGCTGCTGTGGCTACTTGGTCTTCTAGCTCGGCAAGCTCCGACTCCCCCGTGGTGCTGCTGATTCTTCGGGCAGCATCCTCCAGTTCATTCAGCTGACCCTCTAACCCATAGACGGTGCCTGCGGTCAGGTACACCTACAAATAAGAGAGACAAATGACAGCCAGGGGAACTCTGAGTTAGAATGCAAGCTGTCTGAGGGCAGGGACCTTTTCATTCTAGTCTTTGTATCCCCAGCCCCTAGTACATAGTAGGCATTAATAAATGTTTGTAATTGATTGATCGGTGTGGATTTTGGCACTAGTTGGGGAACGTTTTATTGGAAAAACTGCTTTGGCCGCTGAGTGGAGAGACAGTTAGGAGAGGGAAACCAGTGAGAAGGACGCTAGTCCAGGTGTGCAGTGATGAAGGTCTGCAGCAGGATGGCAGCAGTGTGAGTGGAGAGAAGGGGGAAAAAGCGAGATGTAGTTAAGGTAGAAAGAGTACTCAGCAATGGATTGAATATGTGGGTGGAGATCAAGTGGGGAATTCAGCTGGAAGCTGAAGTTCTGAGCCTGAGAGCTGGGAGGATAGGGGTGCCCTCAGTAGTAAGAAAGTTTTGAGTAAAGGAGAGCCGGTTGTTAGGTAAGGATATTGAGGCCTGGGGGAATTCAGTAACTTAAGATTACACACAGACAGGACCAAATCCCTTCTGACACTAGAAGCTAGCTCTTTCCACATGCGAATGATACCAAACGTCAGCTCCAAAAAATGACATTATTAGCATAGTAATTTCTCAATAATAATACATATTACACATTCACTGCTGATGCACAGATTGTAAAACAGAACCTTTGAGGTTTCTTTTAACTTTGAGATTCTGCGCTCTCATGTGACTCCTTACATGAGATGAGATGTTGTTTTTTGTTGTTGTTCAGTCCTGTCCAACTCTTCGTGACCCCATTGAGGGTTTTCTTAGCAAAGGTACTGGATTGGTTTGCCATCTTCTTCTCCGGCTTATTTTACAGATGAGGAAACTGAGGCAGAGAGGTTAAGTGACTTGTCCAGGGTCACACAGCTAGTGGGTGTCTGAGGCTGGATTTGAGCTCAGGTCTTCCCGACTCCAGGCCTGTGCTCTGTACATTATGGTGTCACCTCACTGTCTTTATTCCCATTTTACATATATGAGGAAACTGAGGAGGGGAAGCTAAGTGACTTGCCCAACACCACATGACTGGTAGATAGGTGGAGTGAAACTCAGCTCTCTCAACTTGCGCATGGTTGAAAGAGGCTGAATTTGGAGATCTGGAGTTGAGGGACCTGACTGGAATCCTGATTTTGCTTCCTTATAACCTGCATGTCTTTTGGGTATGAACTCTCTGAGACTTAGTTTCCCTTTTCTGTAAGAAGAGAGGGCTGGACTGGGTTCTTCGGAGGGCCCTTCTAGGCCTAGATCTATGATTCTGTAATAGCAATCTCAGGAGGGTTCCTCCCACTGTCCTCACGCACTCTTGACTTTTCTTCAGCAGCACTGAATATGGGCACCCAATGACTGGTTTGAAAGACTTTTACTTGCATTCCTCTTGTGAGTTTCTGATCCTATCTGAATGTCTCATCATTGTCAGTCCGCTTTTGGGTATGCACAGAGAAGACAGAGTAGTATATTCTCATGCCTTTACCTCTTGTGAGTATTCCAAAGGCAACGTTCTTTTCTATTCTACCACATTGCCCTGATAACAGACACTGTGCCCATCACCAGGCCTAGACTAGAAGCTTTCCAATCTGGAAGGACCCAACTGAGATCACATTCTAGTGACTGATCATTTTTGAGGGCCCATGGTCCCTTCCCTTTTACATCACAATTAAGCATCATTGGTGGAGGGCATCTGGAAAATGAGCTGGAGAAGGAAATGGCAAACGCCTCTTGCCAAGAAAACCCCAAATGGGGTCATGAAGAATCAGACACAACTGAAATGACTCCACAACAAATTTATATAGTATATAAAGTATTTATAAAGTATTCATCTCCCACCACTGGCTATTTTTACTGGCTAACTCTCATGCCTAGAAAGCTCCCCCTCCTCATCTCCATTACTGGCTTCCCTCAAGTCTCAGCTAAAGTCACACCTTCCATAGGAAGCTTTTTCCACTTTCTGTTAATTCTAGTCCCTTCCCTCAGAGTTTATCATGTATGTAGCTTATTTGTACCCAGCTGTTTGCATACTGTCTCCCTCATTAGATTGCGAGTTCCTTAAGAGCAGTCTTTTACTTCTCCTTGTATCCCCAATGCTTAGCACTGACTGGCACATAGTAAAAGTTCTTAATAAATACTTGTTGCCTTGACTTTGCAGAATGAGATAAAAGAGTTAAATGAAAGGCCTTTAAGAAGAAAAGCAAAACAGAAACAAAGACTTAATCAAATCACCTGCCTCAGTCTCTCAAGTGAGAGTCTAGAAATTTTTTTTTCTTTTAACTAAGGCCAGTCTTGTTTCTTTGATTCATTTCTGGATTCCCTCCTAGACAAGACAAAAAGATGCATTGGCTTGACAAATTCAACAGATTTTTCACAAGGGGTAGGGGATGTTTCACCACTACTCCTAATTCTTCCTGACTCATAAAACAACCTAGAATAGGCTCACAGGAATGTGGAGGGATTAATTTTAAAAGTGAAATGAGGAAAGGAAGGGCTGGGGGCCAATATTTTCATATAGAAGAAAGTGCCTGAGAGACGTCTGAAAACTCCTTGACAAGAAAACCTGTGTTTTCAAAAGCCTCCGCCTTATAGCATCTTCTCCCCAAGAATACAAAATCATTGCTTTTATCTCCTCAGAGCAGATGAGATTACTGGTGTCACTTACATTCTGAGTGAGTGGCAGACATCTTCAGAACAGGAAGGCTTAATGAACATGAGAATGGAAACAGGGCCGAGTGTGATGTGTAGTGAAAGCATCTGAAATATAACAGCCTATCTGACAGGGAAATAGTCCTGTTAAATGCCTTGCATTGCCGCTCAAAGCAAGAGTCAGGAGAAATGTCTATTGTAAGTTAAACCTAACGATTTCGGGTAACAGGTTGTAGTAATGAGATTATATTTGTAAAGTGCTTTGCAAACCTTACAGCGTTAGCTGAATGTTTGTTATTATTGTTATTATTATTGCCTAAGTAGATAATAAGTATAACATTTTAATATTAATAATATTGATAATGGATATTATTCAAGATTCAAGCCTAAGTGTATATAAATATAATACTTCAGGACTTCAAGGATATGAGATTTTGTGGGTAGGAGCCCTGCATCCCAAGTCACAGATTACAGAACCTCTAAGGAAAGAGTTGTTAGCATTTTTTTATGTCGACTTCTCCTCTACCCCCCAATCTGGTGAAGAATATATTCCCCTTCACTGAAAGTGTTTTTAAAGGCATGCAATAAAATACAAAAGATTCCAAAGGAAACCAGTTATAGTGAAATATAGTCATCAAAATATCAAAGGAAAAAATAATGACAGACCCCAGATTAAGAGACCTTGCTAGGGTTTAGTGGGTGGTCTTTGAGAAGCACTCTGACGGAGAAATTTATCAGCCTGCAGTCAGTCCAGTGATGAGCCTCTCAGCACGTAGACTGGAGCTTTGTTTCACAGATTTGAGTGGGGAACGATTAGTCCAAACCTCTCGCTTTACAGATAAGTAACTGAGGGTCAGAGGATGTGAGTGAGTGGGTCAAGATTACACATGCGGTAAGAAGCAGAGCTAGGATTTGAACCCCGTGTGCTCTGGCCCCCAAAGAGGCATTCTTCTACTCTACTACAGTCTATGGATAACAGAAGGCAGCTTATCACCAGCTTTTCCACTCTGGACAGCTTATGCTCTGCAGCACAGATTCTGAGAATCAGAGATCCCCTCCCCCACAAAATGAGGAACCACACAGAGGCAATGGTGGAAGCTATTCGATAGCTCCTGTATAGACTACAGACCTTTCCTAACCTGCTTCATCTCAAACCTGTTTGATTCATTTGGATTTTAATTCCAATAGAACATAAATTCCTGGAGGGTAGGAAATGGCTCATTTGTATCTTTCTATCTGTAGTACGCAGGGCCTGGCACAAAGTAGGTGCTTAACTGCTAGTTGATTGATTGACTATAAGGCACAGTCATAACAACAGTAAGAATTGTTGTTCAGTCATATCTGATTCTTTGTGTGACTCCATTTGGAGTTTTCTTGGCAAAGATATTGGTTTTCCTTTTCCTTCTGCAGCTCATTTAACATTTGAGGAAATGGAGACAAACGGTAAAGTGACTTGCCCAGGGTCACACGGCTAGGAAGGTCTGAGGCCAGATTTGAACTCAGGTCTTCCTGACTCCAAGTCTGATGCTCTATTCATTGCACCACCTAGCTGCCCACCTATAAGAGTAATTTACATTCCTACCATGCTTTACAACCTATTTATGAGTATTTTCTCATTCAAACCTCACAAAAATTCTGTAAGTTAAATGGGACAGGTATTAGGACCCCCAGGGTCACATAGCTAGTAGGTATCTGAGGCCAGATTTCAATTCAGGTCAAGTTGTTGTTACTGCTGTTTTTGATATATTCAACAACCTCTCTGGGCTCTCCATCTCTGATTATTCTGTTGCTTTGTAATTTAAGGACCCCCCCAAAAACACAGAGTTGCTTAAATCAAACACATGCCTCCCTCCCCTACTCCCCTCTCCCCACACACCCAGTCCAAAATGCATGGCCCTGGTGGGTGCAGAAGCCCACACTGGTAGAGTCAGGAAGGGTGATGTAAACAATGATATGTCCTCAGGGTAGTGCTTTCTCCTTCTCCCTTCTGCTTCTTTCTGATGCCTGGGATGTGAACGTCACCTTGACTTCTTGAGAAGAAAGAGCCCCAGACCAGATGTCAAGAAGAGCTGGGTAGTGGTCCTGGCTCTTTCACTTCCTAGCAGTGTGACCCTGGCTGAGTCACCCTTCCCATCCCCTCACTAAATTATTGTGAGGAGTAAGTGAGGTGCTGTCCAGCACTATAGAAATCACAGGCCTGTAGGATTTAGGACTAGGAAGGATTTCCCAGGTCATCTCACCCACCCCCCTCGTTGTCCTCATGAGGAGCCTCAAGCTCGGGCAAGTTGCTAAGGATTGCACAGTGCTTTCTCTGCACTAGTTTACTTGAGCCTCAGAACCACCCTGTAAGTGAAGTGCTACACTTATTTTTATTATCCCCATTTTAGAGAGCAGAAAACTGAGGCCTAGGAAGGATATGTGACTTGGCCAAGGTCTCACAGCTAGTGTGAGATGGAGTCTAAACCCAGGTCACTCTAGTTCAAGCCCAATGCACTATCCACTGCCTCCACTTGGGAAGGACATGCAGGTTTGATTGCAGTCTCCGGATGCAAGCGCAGTGCTTCCCGTACACTGTACTAACCAGGGTTCACGTGCAAGATCTCCCCCTCTGCAGCAATTGTCTCCAATATGACTCTTAGGCTTTACGACCTTGTGGGGGATTGTTGGAGAGGGCGGGATGAGAGGAGCACTAGCGGAGTCTGGAGAATTAATACGGCCCCTGGGAGCCATGTCTGTTTCATAGAATATCACCCATGCAGGGCTAGAAGGCATTGTAGAGGAAAAATAATCCAATGCCCTCATTTGACAGGTGAGGAAACTGAGGGATCTGCAGAGGGAAACTGACTCTTCTATGGTTCCACACATAGTAAGCCAGAAGGGGTGTTTAAACTAGGTCCTCTAATGCCCCCAACCTTCTTTCCATTGAACCAGACTTCATTGTTTCCTGGCTTAAGTGGACAAACCAAGTCAACAAGCATTTCTTTAATTGTCCTCTTTGAGAACGCAACAATTGTTTACTATGTGCCAGGCTCTGTGACATCAATTAGTCACAGGTTAGGTGTCCGCTCACAGGATGAATCACGTAACCATCACTGATCAAATCTTCGTGGGGCCCACCCTGCCACACACACTTACATTTTCTTCCAGTGAAGTGAGCTGCTCATCGAGTCTCACGTGGTCTGTCCCGAGAGGAAACGCCCCCTTCTCTCTCTCAGGAGGATCTGCTGGGAAATCCCAGGGACCAGTTGATTCTGCTATCAACTCTTCTGTGGCGTTGATGACTTTGAGGACTTCTGTAGAGATATTGCAGAGGGACACAGCCGAGTACTTCTATTTGGCCCACACATGGGAAGGAAGAGAAGACAGAATATCACATTAATCACAACATGAAGCTTCTGTGTTGTTTGGGATGAAACAGAAATATAACCATATTATTTTAAAAGACAGATTCTGTGTCAAACATGTAAGCAAGCAGTGAATTAAAAATACCAGAATATTTTTAAAAAGAAATGAAAAGCAAGATTTAAAAATCACTATTTCAAAACATGGTTAACACAAAGGGACTTGAGTGAGGTCCGGTGTGAATTAGACTGTATTCTTTGTCCTGCAAAACAATAATTTCATTTGGTCAAAACAATCACTCAATGAACCAAAATCATTTATTTAATTACTGACCACATAACAGCAGTATGTTATGTGCTAGGGACACAAATCAATCAGTCAAAAGCAATTATCAAGTACCAGGCACTGGCGATACCACATAAAAATGGGCTATTCCTTGACCTCAAGGAGCTTACACTCTATATTTTATATTGTCTAATATTTCACTGGACACTTTCTGTGAGGGGAGGGAGGTTGAGAAGCTCAAATTGATTTCACAAATACTTATCGAGTGTATGTGATCTGTAGCTTTGCACAGAACTTCAAGAAAGATTTTTGGTAGCTAGCTTTCATCTTATGATCAGAGAAGTCAAAAGTACAGAAGGGATCAAGTAATTTGAAATGGTTATGTTGACTTCCATACTTCACTGCAGTTTGCTAAACAACCGTTCACAGTAACATATATAGCTACCCTTGGGACTCTCCCCTTCTGGCTCTAGAAAATGTGGTAAAAACACTGTCTCAGATCCACAGAGGGGAGAAGAGTCTTCCTGCTGTTTCTTCCTGTATGTCTAGTGTAGTGGGGCTTTGCATCTGGCTAACCCAGGAGAATTATTCAGCTGCCATGGCAGCTGTGTGTTATTGGCTGTAGACAGACTTTTCCATCTGCTAGAAACTACTGTCTAGAAAAGTAGACGCCAAGCACCTTAGGGGAGATGGGAGTGCTATGGCCTATTGCTGTCATGGTACATGCTTCCTTTGACTTGGCTCTACCCTTGCCCTTCTTCCCCATTCTCATGTCTGGCTGCTCATTCAGGAAAATACATATTGATCATGAGTAGGACTAATATGTAATAATTCTCCACTCCTGGGGAAACCAGAAAAAGTTGCCACTCTTGAGATCTCTATAAATTTACAACTTTTTATTTGCAGATAAGGAAATTGAGACCCTCCAAATCAAAGCTTCAGTGACTTGCTCAGGGTCACCCAATTAGCAAACATTTGAGGCAAGAACTGAATGTAGGTCTTCTTGACTCCAAGGCTGGCACTCTATTCACTGTACCACATTGACTGCAAACTTTTCTAAGTGCCAGTTTTGTTGTTGTTATCATTGTTGTGGTTGTTGACTCATTGTGGTGGTGTCCGACTTCACGACCCCATTGGGAGTTTTCTTGGCAAAGAAACTGGAGTGGCTTGCCATTGCCTTCTCCAGATCATTTTACAGATGAGGAAACTGAGGCAAACAGGATCAAGTCACTTGCCCAGGGTCATATAGCTAGTGAGTATCTGCAGTCAAATTTGAACTCAGGTCTTCCTGACTCCAGGGCTGGCACTCTATCCACTATGTCACCTAGCTGGCCTAAGTGCCCATTAAGATGAAATACATTTTTAACATCGAAGGAATGTGTAGAAAATAAATATTCAAATCAATGTTATTTCTGCATCCAAAGGTTCTTTTGCTTAATTTACTTAATAAATTAAGTTAATTTTACTAGTTCTCAGCCTCTAGTTCAGCAAGAGGCCACCTCTATTTTAAGATAGCCAGAGGTTTGTATATCTATAATTTGCTTTAACTCACCAAGAGAGAACAAAGTCACCAGCTGGGCCCAATGACTTAAGAAATTAAAAAAACAATAAGAAAAAAAGTTATGTATTATGTTCTGGTTTGCTGGTTTCCTGATTATGTAAAAAGTGTGCTCCCTGTTGGGAAGCAGAAACAGGGGTAATAGCAAACAGATCTGACAACCTGCACGCTCCCAGACGTAAGGAATCAAGGACTCTCGTGCCTGGAATGTTTGATCACCTTCCCTCCCTTATGTCACAGTTGGTCTGAATAAACAATGTGCTACCCTCTATGAGTGCAATAAATAGAGATATCATTGCATTGGAGAGTGCTTTTATGTGGTCCTTATCATGTCACAGTGTGGGGCGGGGTGGAAGAAAGGTTCAAAAGCCTTCAGGGTGAGAGACAGGGACAAATATGAAAAGAATCTCTCATCCCAAACCTTCCTCTCCTAGTCACAGAGGGCCTGGAGGGTAGATGGAAATGCGCAAGGTGGCATGAATATCAGTTGGGGAGGAGAATGTCCAGCTAAGGTGGATCATGCTGATAATTTCATGATAACTACTGCAAAACAGAGTCTTACCTGTGGAGCATGCCCAGATAAAAGTGCCTTGAGGGTATTGATCTGGACACCCAATAAACAAGAAGGAGATATGAAGGCATGAAGGAAAGCTTAAACAGCAGACTGGATAAGAAGCTATTTCCTTTGGATTAAAAGATGCCATTGAATGTTTAACCTAGCATAGTGCTCACAGTGAGTCCCGAGTGGATGACTTAAATAGATGCTCATTTGTGATTAAGGCCTGCCTCACATGGTCCACATCATAGATTTTACACTTACCGAGAAATCACAAGGATGCTTTTAATCTGTGCTCCTCTATTTGCATTAAGCAAGAAGGAAATTTGATGTAGTTTTAATTAGAGTAAGTTGCAAATAAGGGTATGCATATACCAATGCAGAAGGGAGTTGGGGAAAGTGCTGGTTCTTGAGAAAATGAGAGAGGAAAGGGACCTTTCTTGGTGTGAAAACCTAATAAAATATGGGTAAGATGGGTCTGGCAGTCAAGGAGCATTTATCAAGCGTTTATTATTTGCCAGGCACTGTGCTAAGCACTGGGGATGAAAACACAATAAACAAGAAAGACCTCGCCTGCCTTTAGGGAACTTATATTATAATAGGGGAAGATAACCCAATAAATGAAACTAAGAGGCAAGAGTGGAGTGGGGGAGGGGAGAAGATGGTAGTGAAATCCAGAGAGTCAGAAGCAGATCTAGGAGAGAAAATCAAGAACACGTAGCCACCCTTCCACAAAAAGGAGGGAGGTTCTGAGTGGAGCTCACCAATATATAAAGAGTGATACATGGGTGGAAAGATGTTCCCAGGTGAAAAAGATGGGAAAATACATAGGGACACATTATATTTGACATATCAGAGGAACTGTCCAAATGGTTTTGGTTTGCTAGAATTGGTGTCAAATATTGTTTGATATGATGATGATAAGATCAGAGGATCACAAATTTAGAACTGAAAGTAACGCCACGTCAAGTCTAATCTTGTCATTTGGTGGATGCAGACCCTCAGACCAAGAGGGATGAAATGCTTTGGCCTAAGTCACACAGGTAGTGAGTGGTAGAGATGGGATCTGAACCAAGGCTGGGACTGGGATGATGATGATAACAGAAAAAAAAAAAGCAGACTGCCACCTGGGGCATAGATCAATTGTTGTTGTAAAGCTATTTTGGTATTTGTTGTCTCATGATATCTCATGAATTTTTGTTTTTTGTCTCATGGTCGCCCAGGTGGAGAACGAGCACCATTAGCACTCTACCAAGCTGCAAAGGCTTCAAGTACAAACCCAGTAATTTTCCTGTTGTCCCAGAACCAGCCTAGTTAAGCAGAGAAGCTCACAATAGCTGTAGGGAGATGATTTTTTTTTTTGGCCATAGCAACTCCTGAAGTCATAGAAGAGTTTTAATAAACATTGGTGGCCAAGTGCCTAGACCAATCACTCTGATACTGGTGAGGATGATGATAGTGTTGGTGGCAATGATGACGATGCTAGCAGTTGGCATTTATGTGGCTCTTAAAGATTTACAAGGCACTTTATGTGGATCATCTCATTTATTTTCCTCACAAAAATCTTTAGGGGTAGAAAAGGCAGAAGGATAAGACTTTTATCATAGAATCTAAGAACTGGAAATTACTATCCCCTCATTTTTTAAAAAATAAATTTTTTATTCTGAATTTGAACAGCAAATATGATCATTTTCATATTCAAAGCAGAACAGAAAAAAAGGACTGCATGGGCATCTGGGCCTCTGCACTAGGCACAGTCTGCTTTTCCCATCAAACATAACAAATTTAAAATGTTATTTTCAAATTTGTCCTGCTAGTCTCTTTCCTACTAACTTCTTTCCTGTGCATTTAAAGACTTTCTTTTCTAAAATTTTGTTAACCATATTACTGGTTTCCTCTTTCCCCCAGCTGAAAGAAAAGAAAGAAAAAAACCCTTAAGTAGGGGTGTCCTAATCTTTGCTCTACTATGACTTTTGGGAAATTAACTAACCTGGACAGCTGAGTCTCAGTTTCCTCATATAGAAAATGAGGGAGTTGTATTGGATGAATACCAACATTCTTTCTTATTCTAGATCAGGTCCTTAGAGAGGTCTTATGGTATAATAGGAAGATATGCAGAGTCAAGCAAAACAAATCCCTACATTGTCCAAGTCTGAAAATGTCTGTCTGTCTCATTCTGCACGCTGAGTCCATCATCTTTACCAGGAGGCAATTTCCTTGGTAAAACTAGGGCCCTGCGGTGTTAAGTGTTGTATGAGGACATACAGCTAATGAGCAGCAGAGCAGGGTCTTGAATCTGGAAATCTTTCCCATTTCAATGCCCTTTCCAGTATGCCATTTTGCTTTGGGTTAAGTCTTGGGGTGTATCATTTCCATATAGCTAGTCAATACTTTGACCAAACACATGATCTGAGACCCACATCTTGAATAAATATTTTACAAGATGGATCTAGGTTAGGTGTTAAGTAGAGACTGTTCACATCTAATGCAGTAATTCATTAGCTAATTCATTTGCAAAGCATCTGTTTGCCTTCATTTTAGGTGAAGGCTGAGAGTAAAAACAAAAAAGGGGAAGGTGGCAGGAAATTA